TTTTTGCTCATTTCTCGGAGGCAAAATGAGCAAGAACGCTCATTTGTACATCATTCTAGACAGAAATAAATGGCCTTTTTAGAAAGTGAAGCATGGATGGGCAAATGTTGGCAGTTTTCTCAAAAAATGTTCGAATTCAAGAAGTTTTAGATTTGCGTGGTTTTCTTTGAGTTGCAAAATCCACTTCAACATAACGCTGCTTTTTTCGAAGTTTTGGCATCGTTGGATAGAGAATTGAATGGGGGGGGGGTCATGACCCCCATGATCCCCCCCTGAATCCGCCCTTGGTTGCATTGTTCAATTCCAAACAAAAAACTTTAGGTTTTCTTCGCCAAACTCTTCATTTTTGAGTAAAAAAAATAAAATCGTAGATATTCATGCACATCTTACATTAATACCCTCTTTGCGCTAAGATGATGCCTTGTACAAGGAAAACTTAATAGAGCTGTTTTGCTTGGAGGTGATTAACAAATAAAGGAAAGTAACTGTTGCTTCATAAATGAGTAGCGTACTTTTTTTTAAATATGGAATAACTGTGAGTACCTATACACGCCACTGGTGCGACAAAGAAATGTTTCAATCAGTAGAAACATTGCCACTAGATAGCTATTAAGTGTGCAAATTTTCCTTGATTTCTGGGTTTTTACTTAAAACTTTTTTAAGCACCCTGCACTTTTGTCACAATGTCCGTAAAAGCATCGATTATTAAAATTTTTACTACTAAAACAAAGTCAGCAATCACCTGTTGAACTTTCCAATCAATCACCCTGAATACTGAAATCAAGGCCATTTTAAGGAAAAACTTTTCGATGAGCAAACCCAAATTTTCCCTTCCGACTGGAAGTCTGCGCATGCCTCACACAAGCAATTGATGGAAATGAAGTACCTGGACATGGTGATCAAGGAGACCCTTCGCTTGTATCCACCAGTGCCGTTTTATGGAAGAAAACTGGCACAAGATGTCGATTTTAGCAAGTGCACCAGACGCCAAACAAGCTCAGATTTCTAACTTAAGTTCGTAGAAGGAACTCTCTACCCCAAGGGCTTGACAGTGTTCCTGTTTCCTTATGGTTGCCATCGGAGCGCCAAATATTTTCCGGAGCCCGAGAAATTCATCCCCGAAAGGTTCGAGAACTGGACCGGAAAACTGCCCTATGCCTACACACCATTCAGTGCTGGCCCTAGAAACTGTATAGGCAAGTTCTTGTTACCCACTGGTTACCACTGGAAATTTATTTGTTTTAAGCAAGATTTTTGATCAAGCCTTTGGTGTTTTAGGTCAAAAATTTGCGATGCTCGAAATGTTGGCAATTATATCCAAAATCATCCGCAAGTTCAAGCTGGCGCCAGCAAGGCCCGAGCACGAAATGCAACTGGCAGGCGAAACGATTTTAATCTCCAAAAACGGAGTGAATATTTCGTTAGAAAAACGATTATAGGAATAAATTAAAGCGATTAATAAATTACAATTAATTAATTAGTATTTGTTTTGCAATTTTTAAAGTGATAACTTCTTGTGGCACAGTGCGAGCTGAATGGAATGCGTTACGGCAACGTTATTCCTGCTATAGATCAAGACAAGTGCGCAGTTCTCTCACGCACGCACACAAACGTACTCAAATCGGTCGTCCGAATACAATAGTGTGCAGTCTGTGGGCCGGTCTTCTTTGGATGCGG